GAGAAATTGTCCCTCGAGACCGATGGATCAGTAACACAAACAACCTGGCATCCAGAACCGCATTCAAAGCACTCAGACCTGATGGCCATTCCTTTTACAATGACAAGGAGATGGAAGTCTATGTGAGATGCATCAGCGGACATACCAGGTCAGCCAATATTGAATCCATTGGAAGGCCGATGCAGCAACAGAGATCGGACCGCTACGAGCAAGGACCATCCTACGATTTTCCATCCTCATCAAAGAAGCAGGAACAAGAAGATGATACCACAAGTCACCACCAGCACAGGATGAGACGACCGGCTCCTGAACACATCGAACAGGAACGAAGGATCAGGCCCTTCTCCAAGAAGCCATTGACACTCATGTTCCATGCGACGTATGCGAGCAACCTCGAAGGCATCCTGGAAGAAGGCATCAAGCCGGGAAAAGACTCAACCCCACGGGGAAGAGTCCATGTTCATCTTGCGAGCATTGATGACGTCATCTTCGATGATCAATCGCCAGGAATAGCAAATTCCCACATTCCTAGTGGACGTGATGCCCTTGTGATCCTCGCATTCAAGGAAGACAATCCGTACCAGTTCCGATTGAGTGAAGAGCGAACGGTACTGACAGAACATACCATCAACACCGCGAACATTGTCATTGCATATGACTCTGAAGGAGTCCCTGTATGCAAGAACTTCTTGTTGATGAAGAAGCATCTCAGTCGAGAAGACCATGAGGCATGCGAGACTGTGATCCAGGAGTTCGCAGACAATTTCTTCAAGCATGTCGCCTCATTGTCGATCACGAGAGACAGATCCGAGAAGGAGCAATCCTCTGAGACCAAGAAAAGAAGGCATTCAACCGATCCTGAGGAAGAAGTGGAAGAAGAACAAGAAGAACCTCAAGGAAATCGATCCGTGAAGCCGAAGGTCAAGGTATACTTTCCGCTCGCGGAGAATGTGACTGCATTCAACGAGGATTTTGCTCAATTCTATCTGGACAGAGACACTACAAAACAACGGGCAGCCGAAGAATTTCAGAACCACAAGCAGAGATTCACAGAGTTCATGCAACGACCTTACAAGAAACCGAAGTCTCTGCCATCCGATCTCACAGAGTGTGAAAAGAGATCCCTGCAGCATGTCGATCCCAGTGCAACCTTCAATGAAGAAGAGTTTTACTTTCACCACAAGGGAAAGAAGCCGACCATGCAAGAGTTCAGAGATGCTCAGCACCACACAGGGTATCCAATCAGAATCCCAATCGGATTGAAGAAGCTAACTGGACACGACGGTCCGTTGGTTATCAAATCATTCACCGATATTCTAGGATCCCTGATGCAGGCATCCGACCGAGGAGATGTTGACCATTCCAAGCATGACTTCAAATCATCCTTGACGCTCAACATCCTGACAGCGAACTTCGGAGACCTCACGAGGAACCCGAAGCTGAACGAAAAAGAACTCCGGGATCTGCCAATGAACCAAAGGCCACTCGTGATGATGCTCCTGCAGAAAAGTGCACACATCATATGCCTCAATGAGGCCGATGCCTTTTTGGACACAGAAAGTGAGAAATCCAAGAATCTCATTAAGCTGTTCATCAGATTCGGATACAAGGGTATAGTTCTGAAGAATTGGACGGCAAGACCGATTGCGTGTTTCGTCCGCGGTGGTCCTCAAGCAAGAGTCGAGCTCCTGGCACGATACATAGGGTTGAAGAGCCAGTGCTGGAGTACAACACTCGGAATGTTTCTTTGGATTGGAAGAACATTGCACCGATCCTGAATACGACATCCCAACATCCGACTGCCTTGCAACAACAAGACCCGACATGTTCATTGACAAAACGAAGTACATCAACCGGAGATTGCCACCTCGCACACTGATTCAAGCCCACGGCAAGAACCACGAGATCATTGTGATCAGAATCGATTACCAGAATGAATTGCGTGGCGATTTTCCGAAATCAGAAGATGTACCAAGACAGTACTACGACACCCGCCATGTGACACGAGCTGACATCCCATATGCGACTGTTGGAGTGTTCCATATCCATCCTAGCATAACCCACGGCGCAGCCAGGACAGATATTCAGGAACACATCTCGCCTTTTATTGCCGAATATCAGTGTGATGTCCTTACAGGTGATGCAAACAAGTTTGCCAACACCTACAGCAAGCTTCAAGAGGTCTACAATCCAGAGAATGGCGTAATGTACTACGCCATGCAGAATTACAAGAGAACCTGGAATGAGACGAAGGACTTGCCCATCGAAGAACGCCTGGACATTGCTATGACAACCTCATTCACTATCAAATCCGTTGTTCGACATCACCTTCATAGGAAGACTGGATCAGGATACGATCGAACATTTCCGGACTGCATGATGACTTTCGTTTTCGGCTGGGGCAGAACCAACATCCAAGAAGAATTCCGAAAGCAAGAGATGGACAAGATGAGTCACAAGGATGCGTGTGAAATGCAGGACGATGCGGAGAAATCAATTGCAGATTATCAGGTATCGTTGGCGGAACGTTTCAAGCACATCAACAACGAGATGCTGATGCTCGGTTTGCGCGATTCGGACTCCCACAGTCCATTGCTGGTATACATCCGAAGCAATGCTGCCAAACAGGAGCGGAATTACATCCGATCCAAGGAATATCACTATCACAAGAACAAGATGATGGAGTCGAACCAGGCAGCATGGAAGGCGTGGAGTTCATGGGATCAATCCGATGACTACCACCACCAAGGATGGAACTTTGGCATGAAATGGCACGACTATAACGCAGAAGTGCAGAGCCAATCCAGCAGCGTTCCCTGGTACCAGCAGAAATGATTCACTGCTAGGATCGCCTCCTTTGGCAAAATCCGGACCTCCTTTGGTCAGCCTAATTTGCCATGGAATGAAGTTTCCAGAGCAACGATCAAGAGAGTGATCATACGACATCGTCACAACGAATATCGACCAATTGATCCTCATCGACGACAAGAATATTTTCTTTGAGAGATCAATAGTTTCACACTCATCCCGCATGTACAAAGCGTGTGCACTTTCCGATACAATTAGGTATCTCACAGAAGTAGTACAGAATGTTTTCCATTTTGCCACCAAGACAGATCATCCGCGAAAAAACAGGATGAAGCATTGTAACAATATAAGTATGGCTACGACTAGGCCATGAAGCCAATCATAGTAATCTTTATGCTAGAGGTCAAAAGAAATTTGTGTCTGTTTTGTGTTCCGTTTGGTTCACCCTTGACCTCTCTGCAATACGATACATTTGGCTCAAGGCCCTTTTTGATTGTACATAGTCCTACAAGACTTTGATGCATTGAAAAGGCTTGCAGACCGCTTCCAGCAGGTATTACAGCAACCCTTTGTTACCAGAACTATCCATTCTCAACTCAATCCACTGTTGGCACATTGGACCTCCTTGCGGAATAGATCCGGGGACCATATATACGACTTCTACTACCACAAGGTATCTGTTCCCTTCTGGGATAAGATACCCCCGGCAGTGGGGCTCGGGGGGGGGGGGGAGCTGGGCTGGGGTTTGGGAGCTGGGCTGGTGGGTTGGGGCTGGGAAGGCGGGCTTGGGAAGACTCCTTGGGTCTCAATCGGGATCTGACCGCTTCCCGGCCCAGTATGCTGAATACTCCTTATATATTTTAGGCTTCAGCAATACTCATTCCCCCGCATGAATATTGAGTGAGCAAGCATTGCTCTTAAGTAGTGTCTTTATGGACATGGATTTGGCTGGCCGATTTTGGCGCTAGCGTCGCGCTAGCAAGGCGCTAGCAAAAGTTTGACCCACACGGGCCCGGTGTCCCCTCATGCTTTTCTGACTCAGGGCGGGCTCATTTGGGATTGTGTAACAACCCCCACAATTTAGGAGGACCCCTCGTGGCGCGGTGCCCCAAAACAAAAAGGAGGAACAATAGTTTCGTAGAACTAGAGTTGCAGCTATGGAGCTGGAGCTGCCAAAGTGTATTGCGTGCACTACGTAGGCGCTAAGTTGCGATTTTTCGCGCTGGAGCTGCCAACGTGTATTTCGCACACTATACTTGTATTGAAAAGCTGTGGCTTTCGAGCTGGAGCTGCCAAAGTGTACTTCGCGTACTACACTTGTACTGAAAAGTTGCGACTTTTGAGCTGGAGCTGCCAAAGCGTACTTTGAATATTGCACTTGTACTGAAAAGTTGCGATGTCCGAGCTGGAGCTGCCAAAGTGGACGGCGCATATTGCACTGGTGCTTAAAAGTTGCGATCTTCTAGCTGGAGCTGCCAAAGCGCAAACGCCTTGTAAAAACATAGGGAGGAGAAACAACGACCACGTCCAAAAAGGCGCCGCAAAAACTCATGGGGTTTCTATATAACCCCAGTCGGCAGAACCGGAAGAACGAAGCCTCTCCCAGCTCGTCGTCGTTCACCGAAGAGAGTTCTTCCGATTGCGCATGAAGATCTCTTTCGGAAAAGGCATGCGCTAGTGGGAAACACACAGGTTTTGACTTGATTTCTGTGTTTGATTCATGGAAGAGGTGTTATCAGCTTATGTATTCGGAATGAGGCGGCACGCTTGGAATTTTACCATAGGGCCGTTTTTGGGAATAAGCATTTTGGCAAGCCACCATGTGGAGGCGGCCATCTCACGGGCTTGGGCCCTCCGAATGAAGTCGAACATGTTGCCAAGTGAGAGATTGTGGTGTTGCGCCTCAGTGGTGGGGTTTGGTCAAGCTGCAGCGGTGAATGGAAGAATCACCGGGCTACACAGGTCCATTGTTCCATGCAGATGATGCCCGACACATTGCAAGTAAACAAAACCCAGAAACACGGTGAAGTTTGCAAACATTTGAGTTACTTCCGCCATTGAGGATTGTGCGGTGTGTGAACTGACCCCACCTTGGGCTTCTATACCTATGTAAGCCTCCAATCTGATGCCGGCATTTTGCCCCGGGATGTGCGCAAGTCCTCAGCGACATCCCGTCCGTCCACTGGGCGCAGGAAATTGGAAGGCTCGCTATTCTTAAGCGTTTGGCGAGCCTGCAACGGAGTCTTGGTCCATGCATTAATAAACCTTTTTGAAGGGTTCTTAAACTTTCGTTTTTAGAGGGCGGTTTCCCTGTTAAGGCTCACTTTAATGGACCCAGTGCCGATGATTTTTCCTTTCTGAGGTAATCTTTGCTCGGCGCCGAGGCTGGCGTGTTGCACATGGAGTCTGCAATCAGTGTGCTGGTCTTTCCCTTCCGTTTGTGCACCCTGCTTGTTGCATTGGGGGATGTGGTGAGTTACGTTCGAGTGGCGAGTGTGGTTCGAGTGGCGAGTGTGTGGGGGGAGGAACTGCAAGATTCTTGGCAGATTACCCAGTGGCTCATCATGCATGCATACCATTCAGATTTTTCCCGGGATCGATTTCCGGCTTTGCGCTGGCAGCCCTTATCGCAGCCTGGCCATGCAGCTCAGTCATGTAGCTTGCAGGTCTTCACCACTCCAGCATGTTTCAACCAAGTTTGCAGAACATGGTGGAAGTGCTGAACAGTTTGCAAAGCCCTGCCTTGGGTGTTGGCGGATTGACCTGGCAGGAAGCGGAGGTGCGGCCGAAGACCATGCCAGGAGCATGGCGTCAGTGCGGGCCGAGCGGCATGCTTGGGGCCCAGCTGATCTTGTTCGGCTTGCGCAGCCCGGGCACTGCAAACTGCGTTTGCGTTTGGCCAGCAAACCGAGAGCTGAGTGCAGCCAGAGATTGTTGGGTCCGAGTTTGCTATTCAGTCTGATGAACAGGTATCGGTTGCAGATCAATGTTGTTCTACAAATCCATTCCTACGCCTTTTTGATGTGCGTTGCACGGGTTACACCCGTTTTCAAAAGCACAACTTGACACAGATGCAACAAATAGCCCTGCAAGGAGCAGCAAACGTACTGGTCGAAACCGTCGTAGCCATGAAACTTGCAGCGTCACTTTTTTTCAAGGCCGGCTTTTGCCCCCCCCCGAAAACGCAGGGAATACTGTTACTAGGCCACTTTCACAGCATGTGCACCAGTACTGCAATCAACCCAAGCCCGCGTACCATGAGTTGGCGGCGCTGATGTTCAAGCTAAACAAGCTGGAGTGAGTCAGCCATGCAGCCATGCAGGTATCAGAACATGGTTTGTTGCCAACTGATGCACCTGCCCAGCCGCTGTAGAGCTTGGCAGTCAACGGATGCTGTAAAGGGAGGCAGCAATTCAAGCACGCTTGAGCTGCGTCTTGCGTTGCCAGGGTCACGCCGCAGGAGCGCGCCCTTGCTTGGAGCCGCCCTTCCAATGCCCTTAATTAAGAGTCAGGTTAGTACTGACATGTACTGACGCACAGAAGTTTGGGCACTCTTCAACCCAAGTTTGCGTGGAGTGACTGCTCAGCAGCCTTGAGCGCTTGTTGGTGTGCCGCGAATTCAGGCGAGGTATGCAAGGCGTGGAATGCCCAGCATCCTTTGGAGCCTGATTCTGAGTGGGAGTTCGACCGAAATGTGCATGGCGTGAGTGTGAACTTAGCTTTTGTGGTCGCCAGCAAGGAGTGCAGGGCATGGGCTTGCCCTGTGAATTGCTCAGCAGCCATTCCAAGGCTGAGGTTACAGTTTCCAATGGGTGCAAGCCATGGACACGACCAGCCTCCATGGCGATGATGTGCCTTGCAGCCTTCCGTGTCTGACTGTTTGGTTGAAGTTCAAGCTAAGGGGTTGGGGTGTGAACTTGTCCGGGAGCTTTCATAGCTTGATCAATGTTTTAAGCACCTTTATTATATCTCACTGTTGCCTTTCGTTCCTGTCATTGTCATTGCTGTTGCCCTTACCCCGCCCATGCCCTTTGCCCGCCACGTTTGTGTTGCACTGGAGTAAGCTTTGCAGAAGCTGCCGACTGCGGTATCACCGGGCTGTTTGCCTGAATTCTGAGCGCACCCACTGCAATCCTAAGAGCCCCCCAACACAAATCGCAGAAGATAAGTTGAGAGCAAAGAACAGCACGCGGTTCTGCTCAGGCCATTTGATATTGGCAGCGAGAGCAAGGCCGGGGGACCAAGTGTTCAAGCTTTGGGCCACGACTTGCCCATGGCAAAGATGCGAGGGTGCTGCATCTGAAGTTGGCAATGCTAAGGAGTGTTTTTTTTAGTCCTTGTGTACAAGGACTTGACAGTTGATTTTAAGCACTGCTTGGACATGACTAGCTTTGTTGCTGAAAACACCACCCGAGTGAAGGGCAGCTACAGACTGTTTCTTGCAAAACTTGGCTGAGCATGCTGTGGACGCATCAATAACTTTGCTACCGGGTGGATCTAGCGTTGCATGATTCCTGTGAACGTGCCACATGTTTGCGTGTCGAAACTAGAAATAGCCAGGCAGGACTTGCGGGTTCTGACGGCGAGCCTGTGCCAGTCCATGTCGTAGCTTGTCCTGGCTTCAAGCCGAGATTTACGACGGGAGCTTTGAGACTGAGAATTTCAGGCTGGGATCACTGTGCAAATCAAAGCAGGGCTGCCAAAGACAGACAGCTGCACGTGCACTTAGATGTGTGTTGCATTTGCATGGTGTCAGTTGCTTTGTTTGAAATCGGGGTACCGGTATTCTGCATTTGGCTTGGCAGCCTCAGGGTGAAACATAAACTGGACTTCTTGTGCTGTAGATGCAGCCATGCCAATGCAGCAAGACTTGATTTTTGCGCGAGCAGGAAAAGGCTTGCAGCATGATGTTGAAGCAGGCCTCGAGGCTTTTCATGGCAACAATGAGTCGTGGAACGAATGATTCTGCTCATAGAGGTCGTGTTGCCGCTTGGTCCATCCGTATCTCGAGTCTGGCCAAAAGGCCCAGGTTCTCAGGAAGTAGCTTGAAGTAGCTGTGTCCGCCGCCCACGCCCTCCATGTGTGTGGTTTGCAGCCGTAAGGGGGGGCCTTCGGCAATGATGACTTGCCAGATGTGCCCGCCGGACGCGTGCTGTGCGGTGGAGGTGCATGAGGACTGTGTTGACAGCTTCCACAAGAAGCTGGCAAAGCTCATTCGCAAGGACCTGCACAACGACCATGCAAACAGCGCCGAGTTGTCGGAGACCCAGGGCTGAGAAGAGAGGGCAGCAGGGGTCAGCAAGGCCCTGCCTGTTCTGGCTTAACGCATGGCCAATCACAGATGAGGTCTTTTCGTACTGCACACGGAATCAGGCAGTATCTAGATTCCTGTCCCCGAAAGCCCGCAGCCTACTTTCTGGCGTCGAAGGGTGTCTTGCTCAGCAGCTGCGTAAGTCCAAAGGTTCTGGCCACCCCCACCATTTTTCCCTCTTTGTGGGGATATCCTTGAGAGGTACGATTTCAACAGAGGAAGGGGGGGCCTGTTTAGGTTGAGCGCTACCTGTTTTTGTTGGACCCTTGAACTGACCCTTGAACTCACGTGACGTTACGAGTCAAGCAAACAGGGCACAGGCCATCAGATTCCGAGGGTCCCTTTCCCCGGGGCGTGTTTGTGCCGTTTAGAGTTTAGAGCCCGCTGCCGGCTCTCTTTTGAAGAGCGGCCTGTGGAGTTGTGGAGGGCCGTGGTGAAAGCCGAGGTGCCAGTCTCTTGGCTTCAAGTCCCAGCTTGTCCTGTGCCCAGTGAATCACCTCAAGAACGCCACCAGAAGCAAGGCGGACCTCAGCGCATGCGACGTTATGTTCTTACGTCGAGATGTCTTGTTTTGAGTGTCTTGCTTTTAGGGGGGACTGCGGCCCCTTCCAAAGGGGCCTTTTGGGGCTTGTGGGTGACTGACTCGGGTGGCAGGATTTCAAGGCTTTTTGATGCTAGTTGCATGGCAAAAACTGAAACGGTGGGTGAAAGCTGAAAGCCTGGGTGGTCCCATTCAGACATGCCTTTTTCAATGCGGCCAAGCGTGATAAAATGGAGTTTTAGTGCTTCAATTTCCGGCATTCCCGTTGCAATAGTCATGACCTGCATTCAGCGAAGTTCAGTCCTTACACCTGGAAGCCATGCAGCATAGTTTGACATATCTCAATCTTGGCTAATCAGTCATGTCCATTTGTTGTGTCCGCTTCAACATGGGGGAGGTCCACTGAAGCGTACTCCTCCATGCGTTAGCATTTTGGGAGTCACCTTCTTTGACAGGCGCCAGGGCTCAGGTGGCCCTTTCAGCTTCGTTCGAGCGCGCTTGGACACACTATTTGTTTTCCCGTTCGCCTTTGGTGGCCTTTCCCAGACTGTGGCATGATGGGAATGTCGGACCATGGGGCAGCCTTTTGGCTGCCAAGAGGAAGCCGCAAGGAAGCCATAACAACGTTTGGCTCCTGCTTTTGAGAGATCACGGACACAACCAGCACACAGACGATTGTTAGATGTTGTTTTAGATGTCCGCAACACTGCCTCGTAAAGCCACCGCAGTGTTTGCTGCATTTCTTGCATTTTGTGGTTGGGACATGTTCCATCACCGAAATGGTGCGTTTGGTTCAACGGCCAGGCTCAAGCCTTGCCCCAGCCAGGCTCAAACCTTGCTCAAGAGCAAGGAGCTCTTTGTAAGGAAGGCGCGCAGCTGGAAGCAGCACGCAGACAATGCGATATCACGTGTGCTGGCCAGGGCCCACGCGTTGGCCGCTTTCAGGGGTTGAGAAAGTAGTCGCTTAACCTGTGAGAATGGTAAAAACGTGGCCGGGCATTCGAGTGATTTGACTGCAGCTCATGCGTGAAGAGCGCTATTCTTCCAATCTCCGCAACCATCCGTTGTCCCTCCTCCAGGACAAAGATTCTGATGTGGATGGGCAAGATGAAGCAGATCCAGCCAGTGCTGCAGCGATCGCACACCCCCACTCGACCCAGACGGCCCAGGCACCAAGACGCCCTCGTGCCAATCCGCTTTCCCAAGCAAACATTGGCCGCTTTGGGGGCGGTCGCAACAACAACGGCACCGAACGCTGTGAATTCTTTCGGCAGGGGTGGTGCTGGAAGGGAGAGGGCTGCACCTTTCGACATAGATAAGCATCGGCGTGCTGGATCAAGTCCTTCTGGCCAAGTTGCTGGCAATATATCAACGTACATAGAGGTATATAAAGGCATATGGCAGTTCAGTAGTCGGTCACGTTCCAGGTTGATTGTAGCAGGAACGTAACGTTCGGGAACCTGGGCTTGTTGGGGCGCGCTTTTTGGCATCTCTTGAGTGTAGACCGGAAACGTCGAAACATGCCAACAGGCGCCAGTTTGAATTGAGGCCTCCCTTGGCACAAGCGCAACACACGTGCTGTGCAGTGTAAATAATCTTCACGCTGATCCTATCGTGTGCACAACGGACAGGCTGCGGGGATCAGGTGTCAACGGAGGTAAGCCTCTTTCAGTAGCATGTTTCCGAGCACGATTCAATAGCAGCAGTCATGAGCTGTGCGCGATTTTCCTGGGTGCAGCTGCGACGGCACTCTTAAGCTGTACAGTCGCTCCCAGACACAGATTCAAGGCATGGCGCGCTTGGAAAAGAGTGCTGCCCTGCGCCGCCGTTTGCAAATGATACCATCAGAGCTGTCTCAATGATGCCTGAAATCATTTCAACCAGTTTAGCCCCCTTCTGCAAAGGTCTCTAGTGCCCAAACCCACTTCATGTGATTGTGTTACAACAGTTCCACCAGGTTCAAGCGCATGATTCTATGAACGTGATCAACCCAACATTTATCCTGGCAAGGGTCGGGTGTTGCCAGCCAAACATGAAAAAACAAACAACGCACGGCTTCAAGCAGCATGCGATGGCAACAACAACAGCATCGGCAACAACAGCCACCACCCAGCACTAGTGCAGGCACGAGCACAAACACAAGCGCAACCGCAACCACCACAACCGCAGCTACTGCAGGCTTGGTGGCCATCGCAATCGCCGCAATCATCACAACCATCATAACCAGAAGCGCCAAGCCAGCCACTGTTACAAGGCAAAGGCACAAGCACTTCAGCCACCCCAACCATCGAACTGAACAGCGCAGCTGCGCCACAACTACCACAGCCAGCGCGTGGCCGGGACCGCAACAGTCACTGCGAGCAATGCACCATGGCAACATCCTGCGTGACTTGTGCAAGTCTTCCACCTGTTGGGGTGTTTGTGGCGCAAAGATGAGATGATGCGATTGTGGCCGTCTTGCTTCGGGGCTTACAGCTTTTGACTGCCGCACTTGTACAGATCTGGGCTGTGCGGAACAGGCGCGGGAGTTGGGCAAGGCAAATGAAGTTGGTCGACGAAGGATCCCTCAGACGCACGAGCCAGGGCGCGCACTTTGATCTTGTACAAGTTCATCGTGAGAGCGGGTCCCAATTCTAGACAAGATTCAGGGTGTCGTTTGGGTAGTTTTGGTCTTGGGTTTGGTTGATGCTTCAGATTTAGAGGCGGATTCGGCTGCATGAAGGCGCAGGGAAGCGAGTGGAAGGGCGTGTTTGAAGTTCCCCAGGGTGGAGGTGGGTTTGCAAAGTAGGCTTTCAACGGAACCCCTTCCTATGCTTTCGCGGCAGATAATTATTCATGCATGGCAAGTCGCTGTCTATTTGGTTGCACACATGCTTGATCGATGCGGCTTGTGTTTTTCAAGTGAAAGTTGTTTGTTGCCAGGCTTCACCTGATCGACCTCCAAAATGCATTGTTTGCATATGGGCGTCCATGTCCCCCAGTATCCCCAGGAGACATGCTTCGAAGGCAGGCAAAACACTTGCCTGAGGTTCCAAAGATTTGCCTGCCAATATTTAAGAGGAAGACTAAGTTTCCCCGAAACTACAATCGACATCTGACACAAGTAGAGCCGATTTTCCGCAAACAGTGTGTGCCAGGAAGGGGTTCTTTCAGTAAAGAAAAACGCGCGCGGCTGTTCAAATCGATGGTCCGCGCCGACGTGCGCGGCCTCGAGAGTGGCTTGGATGACCATCCTCAGCTTCGTGTCGGGAGGGTCGATGCCCCAAAACCCCACAGAACATGCACTTGTTGGCCGTCCACGCGTGAACCTCTGCGAAAATCGGGTGGGTCCAAGTGAAAAGCCCCACAGGAAATAAGTGGGCGGCTGTGAGACAAAAAAACACGGAAATCCAACTGTGAGTTTCCAAACTGTGTCACGGGCTTCTTGGAACGGACTGGTGGCAACAGAGTATGCAGAACGCATAAGACATTCATCCGCGAGACACACATGAGCAAGGTACTCTTTTCGAGAACGTGCTGGTAGCACACACTGTCCATTAATTAGACAGCACGCGCTGGGTACGTGAGCAAGGCAGAATCGGGCCAGATAGGCGTATAAGGTTCACATGAGCAAGAAACCCCAGGAGCGAGATAATATGGCAGCCAGTAACCTGTAAGAGTGCTGTGACGCCTGAATTGCGTGAACAAGACACACATGACTCACCCACTCATGCGTTCTTGGCTCCTTTTTCCATGGCTCAGTCGCGTACCGCGCTACACTCTTCACTGCCGTGAAAGCCATATCCAGCTAGTTTGCAGAGCTCGCCCTCGTCAAAATTGGTGGGATGAGGTGTAGCACTTGGGACACGTTTGGTTCTTCTTGCCCAGATTGCAGGGCAAGCAGAATATTTGCAGGGGACATTTTACCGGACTGTCTGGTGCTCAGATTCCTGGGGCAATGCTTGGCAGGCTGCTTAGGGACATTGCTCCTCTGGACTTTTTGTGGTCGTAGTTTGTGTAGTTCTTGGAATCGTTCTTGGCGCAGGACTGCTTTCTCCACGGGCTGCTGCTGCTGCTGCTGCTGCTGCTGCTGCTGCTGCTGCTGAGTGTGCAACGACAGACCTGAAGCGTTTTGCGTGACTCGAAACATGAGCTGCCGTTTGTTCTTGACTCTTGCTTTTGCATTGCCTTGGGTTATTGAACACTGTTTGGGGTCTCTGGCTGCTTGAACGGTTGAAGACTCGCCTCTTTGCCCTTTACACACTCGCCAGGCATGGCCGGGGCCAGCGAGTTTGAGCCGCGCGAGGCAAGGGCCTGCTTCCGGAGAATCAGACAGGAGATGTTATCTCCAATGCCGCATCCGTGCTAATTGTGTATGCCACCACGAGTGCAGAGGGTTCGACTACTTACATGCTGATGACGGTTAATGAATATATCATAGGTAAAACAGGAGGTGTAATGTTTTGTTGTCGATTTACCCTGTCGGAAGCCAATGTTCTACCCTTTGCCAGAGTCTTTGGAGGAGCCCTGTCCAGTAGGCCTTCAGGCATAGTGGTTTGGATTGGTGGGGAGATGTGTCTTTGAATCTGTGCCTTTGCTTCAAGCCCGAAAGCAAAAGTAAAGCGAGCGAAACCCTTTCTGCGCAGGCTCTTTGCGCAATCTCAATGTGGCACCTCCCTGCGCAATCTCACTGCGCAGTCTTTCTTCGCAATCTCTTTGAGTAATCTCCCCACGCTTTCTGTTTGCACAGTCTCTCCGCAATCTCTTTGAATATCTTTCTGCGCAATCATTCTGCGCAATGTCTCGAGTAATCTCTCAGCGCAATCTCGCTTTGTAATGTCTTTGAGTAATCCTTTTGTGCACTCTTTCCGCTCCATCTCTCTGAGCGATTTTTTGCGCAATGTCTCTGAGCAGTGTCTCTGAGCCATCTCTCTGCGCAATCTCCCTACGCAATCTCTCTGCGCAGTCGTCCCTCTGAGCAATTTCTTTGCGCAATGTCTTGGAGTAATTTCTTCGCTGTCCAATCTCTGCGCGCAATCTCTCTGCGCCATCTCTCTGAGTAATCTCTCTGAGTAACCTTTCTGCGTACTGTCTCTGCGCAATCTCTCTGAGTGTGTCTCTCTGAGTAATCTTTCTGCGCAATCTCTGTGCGCAGTCCCTCTGAGCAATTTCGCTGCGCAAATTCTTTGAGTCATTTCTCCGCTGTACAATCTTTGCGCGCAATCTCTCTGTGCCATCTCCCTGAGCAATCTCTCTGCGCAATCTCTTTGCGCAGTCTCTCGCAGCAAGGTCTCTGCACAATGTCTCTGAGTAATCTTTCTGAGCAGTCCCTCTGAGCAGTCCCTCTGAGCAATCTCTCGGCAAATCCTGTACGCACGTTTCTTGGTGCAAACTCTCGTAGCAGCTTTCTGTGAGTAAAGAACACTTTGCGCTGCCTTCGGAACTACTTTTGCGCATATAAATTGCAATCCTCGGGCTGACGCAAGCTCTCGTTGCAACTTTCTGTGCGCAAGCTGCCGCAAGAAATCCAGCGGAAGAACACTTCGCGATGCTTTCGGAACTGCTTCTGCGAACGGAAATTGCAATCCTCGGGCGGAAGCTACAAAACTGCAGTTCGAGTACTTCTTTCGGATGCCAAAGTTAGGATCAACACTCAGTTTTCACTGTGAGTCTTTTGTTGGATACTCTACAAACAGGGCGCAAACAAGGAACATCAGCTGCATCATGTCACAGATCAACCAGCATGAACTCAACACCTGAAATGGCCTGAAACACGCACATGCTTCGCTTAGACTTCAGGGGTTCTTCCCTTGACCTGTGCAAATGCTGGATCCTTTCAACATGATCGTCAATTGAAAGCAGAAATGCTGCACTGCTCTAGCGGGTTCTGTCGGGCCTGCTCACGCTGTGTCTCAACTGGTGCAAAAGGTGGAGGAACCTGAGCAAGGCCACATGCCTCGAAGCAATCAGTCATGTAAGCTGATCGCTCGACCAACGCCACAGCCTTCATCAGGATTTGCCAAGTTGGCTTAAGGAATTCGTCTTGAAGAATCTCTTCGGACTTGGCGGCCCTCTGGGAAAACAAACCCTACGCGAAGGTCAGTGGAACTACGGCAAGGGAGCCCTCACAACACACTTGAAATTGAATTCAAGCTGTTCCATAGTAACTCCCGTGCATTTTAAGAAATTCGCAATCTAGACCCTGGCTCGCTCCCCACAGCCGCGACCAACGCGTGTGTGCAGGATACAATATGTCAGCGCCATGGAGCCAAACGATCGGCTTTTGCTAGCGCAATGGATGCTGGCGATTCAAAATTCTATCAATGTTTGTTAGGGCACGTCTTGTTTGTGGCAGAAACAACGGATTGCGCGCGAGCATGTTTGTGGAGGAAAAGCATTCTCGTTCATCATGTTTTGTTTTGTCTCGCACATTGGCATGGCGAGGCGCGCTATTAGATCGTCGAATTCAACGTCAACCGTGCAGATTCAGAAAAGCTGTGAACGTCGCAATGCTTCCATCTTTGGCCCTCAAGTCTCGCACGGGTACCTCATGATGAAGGGCGTTGAAGGAATTGTTTTTACTCGGCCCAAGGCGCCTGCGGTGCGGAAGTTGTCTCCCTCCGTGAAACTCCGCTCCCCGTCAATTTTTCCTAGCTGACCAGAGGCACTAGCCTATACAGACTAGGCAAGGCCGGCACGTCCGGCTTGTGTGTGTGTGTGTCTGTGTGTGTGTGTCTGTGTGTGTGTGTGTGTCTGTGTCTGTGTGTCTGTGTCTGTGTCTGTGTGTCTGTGTCTGTGTCTGTGTGTCTGTGTCTGTGTGTCTGTGTCTGTGTGTCTGTGTCTGTGTGTCTGTGTCTCTGTGTCTCTGTGTCTCTGTGTCTGTGTCTGTGTGTGTGTGTCTGTGCGTGTGTGTGTGAAGGGTCTGTGCGTGTGTCCAACCCAGTTTACAAAGGGCAACAGCGAGAGAGAATTGAGCATGCTCTGGTCGACAATGTCAGCTTGCTTGCTTGTCTACGATTCATGTTTAGGTGGATTCCCTAAGTTCCTTGCTTGTGGATTCCCTTTGCGCTCGTGTCAAATGTTAGTTTTTATAGAACCTCAACGCCCAACAGCGGGTGTACGGCCAGAGCGATGACGCGCTCAGGGTGCTAGCGCCAGATCTTTTTCATTGATCAGCTATGTCCGCTGCTAGACCAGGATCGCTGACTAGATGCTGCGTAGTGTTGTTGCTTGAGTGCCTTACCCTGGTTGCGCCTGACGCTTCTAGCGTATGAGTGGCTGTTGGCACAGCGGACACTGATATCCGAGCTAGCAATTTTCACCTGCCGCGAATTCCTGCAGGGGATGCTGCAGGCACGCCATGTGCCTGAGTTGGCCACTTCAGTGTACCTGCAGCCTTAGAGTGTGTGTGTGTGTGGGTGTTGTTTCTTGCTTCACTCGCTGGCATAGCCTTGCCCGGCAAAACCTTGTGTGAATCTGGAGCCAAGTGCACGATCCGACCTCCAAGTGCGCCCGCTGGGCTTGATCCTGGCCCTCGCAGAACCAAAGCAACGCATAAAAAGGCACTGCGGAGACCGAGGGAGGGGGGGATTTCACAAGTGTGATCCAGGCAATACTTCGTTCAACGAGCTGCCTGTGGCAGGGTTGCCTACTGTGTTTGATTGCGCCTCGCCATCGGCTTGCGCAGAAAGCATTGGTCATTCAGTTGACCCTTAGAGGCCCGCCTGACCTTCGAGGTCCTCAGAAGAGATTGGAACCTGCCTTCGTTCCACCGTGCGTTATGAGTCTTCCCGCTCAGCAGCAATTTCCCGTTCAGTACTCTGAAGCACAAGGCACAAGAAAAAGCGTTGCCCGCCGCATCTGTCACGCATACCCATTGGGTCAAGTCAATATCCCCCCGAGGCATACTCTCTGAAGCCACTCCCTCAGTGCCAGCCATTGGTGGCAGACTGGTTCCCACAGCTCCTCCTGGGAAACCAGTGATTGGCAGAGTCAGGCATGGTCCAATTCGTGGAACCAGCGCCAGGCAAACAGACCCGCAGAGCTGGCGCTCACGCCAGATGTACAGGCCCCGGCCCCAACGTTTCCCATCACATTTTCTCCTGACGCCGTCCTTTATGACAAGACACCTATTGCGGGCCATCAGCTCTATCGGCTGGCGCAGCCGAAAGAATGGAGCAGCAAGACAAGTATAGCCGGATGCAAAATCGAAGATGTCCAACTGCGCGAATTGTGTCACCGTGGCATGGCTGAGTTTTTTTTGCGAGAGTGCGATCTGAGCGCCGATTTCAAGGACGAGTCCGTTGAAAAGATCCGCGACGCCCACCTCAACAAACGAATTGGCCCGGACCTTTTTCAGTCACGATGCGCCCGACAAACACAGAGACTCTGCCAAATTTATGGGCCCGTTGGCAGAGGAACTGTTTCAGCCCACGCAAGCTCGTGCGCCAAGAAAGGCCGCAGAACTCACAGATGAGTTGGCTCGTGCGCGGGCCAAGCTTGCCGCAGCGGGAATCCAGCTACTCCTGCCAAGAAGCGGCCTGGCAAGGCTTCAGCCAACGCAAATGAGCCCCCGGCCAAGCGAGCCAAGCCCGAAGCTGCGGAGCAGTCTGACCTCAGCGGTCATGCTCCGGCCGTGGCAAAACTGTTGCAAACACCGCCTGTTCGCGCGCTAGATTCCCAGCCTCACAGAGCTAAAGATGAGCAGATCGTCGAGTGGCCAACACCTTTAAGGGCATGTTCAATGGGGATTTCCCAGCTTTCAAGAAACAGGTCAGCAAAGCGTCAGGGCGAACATTTAGAACCGAAAAAAGAAAAGGACCTTCCAAAGGCAAAAAGGGAACTCGCTGACGAGGCGGACTCAATCCCTTCAAAAGAAGCAGCGCAGGCGGGAAGTCTAATTTGACTGACGAAGCCACTACGAATCCCGACGATCAGGCAGGCCTACTGGGGCAAGCAAGGCGGAGAGGTAAGAATGGCAAATCGAAATTGCCTTCAACGTACGACTCGAACAAAGGTGGTCAAGACCATGACAAAGGAAAAGGAGGCATCGACGCAGGAAAGGGCAAGTCAAAGCCCTTCGCCTCCACAGGAGAGACGGAGCAGCAGCCAGCCACACAGGCGACTGTTGAGAACCCACCGCCGGCCAGTGCCGATAGTACTCCGATTGGTCACAGGAACAATGGGATTCATCATGGGGATGGAACGACTACCAAGGCTGGCGCACTTCAAGGATGCCCACTATGGTAGTACTTGCGCGCACAAAACCTCGCAGTTGCATCCATGAACCAGAGACTGCTAGCTAATAGTTCATGGCGCCGGTCATGAACACACAACAGAATCCAACTTTTGCAATCCTCGACAGCGGATGCACCAGGTCAATGGGAAGCTGGTGTGCAATCCAGCGGTTCACACAGGCAATTGAATCACCTACTCCTACATTCCGGCTGAGACGAAGTTCTGCCAATGGGGTGACACTGGTGCTGGGCGCTAGCGCTAAATGCTGGCGCAGATGGTGCGCAGGGTGCTGGTGCTAGGTGGTTCCCAAGATGGAGGCCAGAAAAAGGGCGGTGATGCAGTGTTGGCACAAACCTTTTGATCTTGGGTCATGAAGGTCCAGTGCGCCTCATCGAGTACCAGGTCAGTGTCTTTGTCAGAGTAACACCTTCGTTGCGAGTCTTCACTGGAGGATGTTGGCACATGAGGAATAAGTTCCTCTGACTCAGACTCTGGCTGATCTTGTTGAACTGCTCACGGTCGGTTGCTCGGATTGTTTGGGTTGTCTGTTGATGAAGATGCAGGTTCTTGTTATGGGGAAATGTTCTTGTCTGCTGCTTTTGCCTTGTGCGTCTTCTGGGGGTGTGGCTGTGTCATAGTGATCGGTCATAGCGTTAGATTTGGCACATCGTCTCGCTCGCTCTAGTTTTCATCGTCATCTTCTTGGTGTAAAGGTGGATCTGGCATGGACTAATCAGGTCGCTTGTGGTCCTTGCGGCGGTGACTGTTTTGGTGGATCAGGATCGACGGGCATCGGCTTGACCACTGCTGCTTCTGAAAGAGCATGGTGGATGGCAGAGTACTGTCTTGGACCAAACTCACCCCAGTCATACTTGTGCGCTGGCAACGCCCAAATGCGATTCAATTGTCCGGGTAGCCACAAGAAAATACATGCATCATCTGGTGGAGCATGCATCATCTGGTGGAGATGTCGAGGACATGTTGATTCCAATCACGCCGGCGTCTGTGCCGGGAGGGTACTGCTTCATTGTTCATTGACATTTCTGCACAACTGGATCATTAATGCAAGTGGCTGAACTTGTCGGTTATAGGGAAGATCCTGAATGTTGACAACAGTACTACTGCTGGTCATGTTGTGCTCGGCGTCAATGTCTTCCAGCTCTTTTCTGAGATCGATGCACTGCTTGTCGGCGAATGACTCCAAGGTCCAAGATGTCTTCAATGATAAGCACCCCTTGGTCAAGTGGCTTCACCTTCAAGTGTCGAAGAATGAAATGCGCAAGGTCTTGACAGAACTGGTCGGATATACTTGTGCCAGCTTTGTCCTGCTGCCAGCGCTACCAGCGTTGCCTTAAGAGGTTGATGCTTCGAAGCTTGTTCTGTTCTTGCGTCGCTTGAAGATCGGCTTCATCACTTCTGCTGGAAGATCATGGAGAAGGCTGGTCTGCTTTAGACTTCTCAGCTTAGTCTCAGGATCTTGCAAGCCATGGGCGCAAAAGTCGAGATCACCCCAGGTAACAAGGTATGTTCCCAAGAGTTGTTGAATGCAGTTTAACTGCCGCAGCCTTGATGTCTTGGGAACCTCAACCACGCAATATGTTTTAACTGATATCGTGCTGCGGGTGCCGCAAGCTCAACCATGGGAAGATAGCGCTTGCGCTTCTCCTAGACTTTCTGTCGGTCCTTCTGAATGTTCTGAATGTTTGACCAGGGCCCACACACGGGCGCCATGAGGATGACGTCGGGCGCTTGTTCTCTGATGATCTCCGTGGCCACGTCGCGTCCTGCAGATGTCATCACGTCGCAACCGTTTCTGATATCTACTGGTGTTCCTACCTTCATTCCTGTCACGGCACAGCATTGGCTAAATCGCGCGCTGCCAGCGAAGACCTCGAGAGCATAAATCTTACCCTTTCTAACACAGTTCCAGTGTGCTTCATGAGTGGAGGATAAGTATTCCACGTAAACTTCCGCTCCGGCAGGTACCTTTGGAGGTGGTGCGGGCCCTTGTCTGACTTCTCTTCAGGCAACAGCAAGTCGACTCCAGGCTTGCTTGAGAAAGTTGCCGCGTCCTTCTGAACTTTTGTACTGTTTTCCCTGATAAGTCGCGTTACAAGGTCGAGTCCTATCATGGCTCGTTCGAGCGAAACCACCTTGCCTTTTTTAACCAAACGCCTTGCTGCCATCTGATCTGATTTTGGACTTGTCCTCTTGCAAGTAGAATACCTTGATATGCTGAATGGTTTGAGCTCATTCTTAAGGTTCTGCGCAAGATCTCGTCGAACATCTTCTGACTGTCGAACTTTTTAAAAAGCTTGTTTGGCAAGTTGCTTGACTTGCGCTGCAGTTAGCTTGTCAGCAGTTTGTCGATGGTCAACTGCGCCGGTGTTGCGACATCCAGCTGTACAAGATCAGCAGGTCTTTTGCCGAATGCAAGCTCCAGCGGCGTCACTACGCCATAGGCGACGGTCTGGTTCCGAACTGTCGCGGCTGCCTTAACAAGTTGGCGACGCGTAACCTGCTTGAGCATTGGAGGTGCCATTCCGGCGTTGATAGAGCTCAGCATGATCTTGATCTGCGCCTTCGGGAGTCGAACTCAGTCTCTGCTCTCTTTGGCGAAGGAGTGCGCGGCCCCAGAGATACCGGCATGATGTCGAGGGACTGAAAAAAGTGCTCCCAGGTCTCTGTCTCTCTGTCATAAAGGCCTGGTCTCCAACAACTGTCTTGGCTGCAGGTGACACCGGCCGAAATAGTTCCTGAGCATGTTGATATTCTCAAGCTCTGGAGTTGATGGAACTACTTCAGCAGTGAACAATGTCGCTGCTCCATCTAGAGTTACAAGAACAATGAGACTTTCTCCGGCTCAGTGGAACTTGACAGTGGTCGATGCAAGTCATATCACCAAATGCGTCTTGCTTCTCGAGGGTGTAACCTTCGCCTTCTGGCAAACTTCGCGTTCTGCGCGAACCTTCTCGCACAAGTCGTAGATCTCTTTCGGAAGACGCAATGCGTTGGAAATCGAAATTGTTCTGTACGCGTGTGACGATGCACCAGGTGGAGTTTCTTCAGTTCTTCTGGCCGAGATTATTCGGAACTCGGCCAAGAGCACGCGGAAGAGTGGTTGGTCCGTCTTTGTCGGTGCTGCTGCAGGAGTTGGCTCAATGGTCGACCGGCCCTCTTTGTCGATAATCCTGTCAGCTGCCGATCCTGTCGAACCTTCTGCTTCCTTGAGAGACTTGTCTGCATAATTTTAAAGATTGTCTTGCAAGTCCTGATCTTCACAGGCTGATGAGCCTGGGAGTTGATTCTCCAGTTATCATCACGGACTTGTGGCACTCCACCATGGATGGCGCCAGTCATATGTGTTGAGCGACGCGGCTGATGTTGCCCGCAGGTGTTGAGCAACGCTTGATCCCAGTCGCGGTGAACAATGCTTTTCTGGGTGTAATGCGTACGCGTGTCAACTGGTTGTTCTTCTCGTCGAGGATCCTATGGTCTTGCTTTGGATTCCCAATGTCCTGAGGAGTCTTTGCTTCTTTAGGAATCTCTGTCCACGGTGTGACTGCGCAAACTGTTAGTTCAACACTGGGCTCAAGCGAGGTTACCTTTATGCTGTCGTCACCATCATAGACAAAATGACTCGAACTTTTTGAAGCAAGGTCTCCGTGCTCCTTGATCTTTGCCACGCCTGCAACGTCGATGAGGGCATGTCCTGCACAAGACACAGGAACTGGTTGCTTGCGCACTCCGAAAGCTTCACATGTGATCTTGTCGCACTGTGGAGTGCGCCCGATGGTCATGTGCAAGTTCCTCATCTGACTGATGCTTAGGAGTATCGGGACGGTTTCTTTGCTCAAGAACGTCGATGGTTGCGTGTGCAGGTGGAGTTGTGTTGTCTTGAAGCTGCAAACCTTAGCAAGAGTGCGCTTGGCGTATTTTTTCGCAAGAGAAGAAACTTCGGGCCAAGACTCGCAGACCTGGTGGAAGGTTTCGGCAGAATGCGTCCAACAGCAGGCACGGAACAATATATATTTGTTTGCCACGCTTGCTCCGGCCCAAGTTACGCTAAGGGGATAGGCGCAAAATTCAGCAAATGCAATCCCGCAGAAGTCTTCGTGCAAGGCAGCTGTAGGCATCCTTTCCATGGCAATGTGGAAATGCCGCAAGCGAGGATTGAACGCCTAGAGGATTGAACCCGCGTAGGTCGGTGGTGCAGAGATGGCTGCAGAGGCTGCTTCTGGGCGGAGCATTGGCAGTGAGATAGGGGTTGTGTGAAAACCCCGCGCCTTTACATTATGTAAGGCTTCGTCCGGAGAGGAGGCGCATGGCGGAACGCCTGTAAAACGATAAGGAAGAAACAAAAACGATAACGAATGTGTTTACTACTACTATTACTACTACTACTACTTCTACTACTTCTACTACTACTACTACTACTACTACTATTACTACCACTACCACTACCACTACTACTACTACCACTACCACTACTACTACTACTACTACTACTGCTACTGCTGCTGCTACTGCTGCTGCTGCTACTACTATTACTTCTACTTCTACTTCTACTTCTACTTCTACTACGGCTACTACTACTACAATTACTACTACTATTACTACTACTACTTCTACTACTAGTACTACTACCACTACTACTACTACTACTACTATTAGCACTACTAGTACTAGTACTAGTACTAGTACTAGTACTAGTACTAGTACTAGTACTACTACTACTACTACTACTACTACTATTAGCACTACTAGTACTAGTACTAGTACTAGTACAAGTACTAGTACTAGTACTAGTACTACTACTACTACTACTACTACTACTACTACTACTATTAGCACTACTAGTACTAGGACTAGTACTGGTACTAGTACTAGTACTGCTACTGCTACTGCTGCTGCTACTGCTGCTGCTGCCACTACTACTACTACTTCTACTTCTACTTCTACTTCTACTCCTACTACGGCTACTCCCTACTACTACAATTACTACTACTACTACTACTACTACAATTACTACTACTACTACTGCTGCTGCTGCTACTACTACTACTACTACTACTTCTACTTCTACTTCCACTACGGCTACTACTACTACAATTACAACAACTACTACTACTACTACTACTACTACTAGTACTACTACTACTACTACTACTACTACTACTTCTACTACTTCTACTCTTAGCACTACTAGTGCTACGACTACTACTACTACTACTGATAGCACTACTAGTACTAGTACTAGTACTAGTACTAGTACTAGTACTACGACTACTACTAGTTCTGGTACTAGTACTACGACTACTACTACTACTACTATTATTAGCACTACTAGTACTAGGACTAGTACTGGTACTAGTACTAGTACTACTACTGCTAGTGCTGCTGCTACTGCTGCTGCTGCCACTACTACTACTACTACTTCTACTTCTACGGCTACTCCCTACTACTACAATTGCTACTACTACTACTACTACTACTACTACTACTACTATTACGACAAAAGTGGGAGACAGGGTTCCAAAGTTTCAAGCTTCAAAACCGAAACTGCCCAGGGCCTCAAAAAGCAGTCCGAAACAGTTCGGAAACATCTCTGAAACAGCCCCGAAGTGCCTCAAGCCACCACAGACGGACAAGCCCATTTGAGCAAATTGCCCCACTACTAGTACTATTACGATTATTACTACTACTAGTATTCTTATCACACTACTATTATTTTTACACTGCTATTACTGCTACTACTACTTCTACTACTACTTCTACTTCTACTACTACTACTTCTACTACTTCTACTTCCACTTCTACTTCTACTTCTACTTCTACTTCTACTACGGCTACTACTACAATTACTACGAGTACTTCCACCACTACTACTACTACTACTACTACTACTTTCTACTACTACATTGCTACTAGCCCGTCAGACGGGCGCCCGTCGGACGGGCGCCCGTCGGGCGGGCGCCCGTCGGGCTCGCGCCCGTCCGTCCGTCCATGATCTTCACGGCAAGGTCGCGCAACATACTGGTAGGCATCAGGAAGCGCCCGCTGCGGGCTGTGGCTGAGCCATGTGAAACTAGGCATCGAAGACAGTCCGAAACAGTCCGGAACATGGTCTGAAACGTCCCGAAGATAATTGCTAATTACATTCATTCATTAATTAGGCACTTCTAAATATAGACTAGTACGCCCCACTACCACTACTAATGCTTCTACAGTATCCACGGCAAAGGTCGCGCAACATACTGCTAGGCATCGAAGATAGTCCGAACCAGCTATCATTATTCTTCTACTACTACTACTACTACCACCACTACTAGTACTAGTACTAGTACTACTGCTACTACTACTACTGGCACTACTAGTATACTAGTACTAGTACTAGTACTACTACTACTACTACTACTACTACTACTACTACTACTACTATTAGCACTACTAGTACTAGTACTAGTACTACTACTACTACTATTAGGAAAGAGAAAGAACAAGAGAAAAGAAAGATACAGAAAATACAGAGAAAGATATAAAGAATGAGAACGAGAAAGATAAAGATAAGTAAAAGATAACATAAAGAGAAAGATAAAGAGATATTTAAAGAGAAAGAGAAATAACAAAGACAAGAAAGATAAAGATAAAGAGAACATACAGAGAAAGAGAAAGACAAATAAAGAGAAAGCGAAAGAGAAAGAGAAAGGGAAAGGATAAGTAAAAGAGAACATAAAGAGAAAGAGACAAATAAATAAAAAAGACAAGAACAAGAAAGATAGAGATAAAAGACAGACAAAGAAAAATAAACAGAGAGAGAGAGAGAAAAGAACGAGAAAGGAAAGGGACATGAAAAGAGACGGAGAAAGAAAAGAAAGAGCAAGATAAAGATAAAGAGAAAGAAGAAAAAGAGAAAGATAAGGAGAACGAGAAAGAGAAAGAGAAAAGAAAGATAAAGAAAGGAAAGAGAAAGATAAAAGAAAGAGAAAGCAAAAGAGGAAGATAAAGAGAAAGAAAAGAGAAAGATAACGAGAAAGAGAAAAGATAGAGAAAGATAAAGAAAAGAGAAAAGAAAGATAAATACAAGATAAAATCATCAGAAAGAGAAAGAAAAAGAGAAAGAGAAAGAAAATAGAATAGAAAGAGGAAGAGAAATGAATCAGACAGATAAAGAGAAAGAGAAAGAAAAGAGAACATAAAGAAACAAAGTAAGAGAAAGAAAAGAGGAAAGGAAAGAGAAAAGAAAGATAACTATAACTTTTATATGTTTAGAAACTTCCGACCACCGGCTTCGCCGGCTCTATGTTATTAACTCCACAAGACACGGAGCGAGCATTGTCCGATTGGAGTCCGATTGGAGAATACCCGTGGAACACGAAACCATTTTAGCTGGAGGTGTTTGACATTGGCTTACTGAGACAGGTGTTTGGAGCAGTTGGGATGCATCCATCAGACATTGCAGGAAGGAGACCGAAGGAAGACACTGCTGTGCAAGCAGTATTTCGAGGGAGGATGCAACCGGGGCGGCAACTGCGCTTTCGCACATGGTGAAACTGAGCAACGCCAGCCACCTGGATGGCAGGACGGGTGCTTTGAGTGAAGTCAGCAGGCTGCTGCAAGAGTTCTCACCCAATGGTCATTGGGAACGTTTGGGGTGGGTGGAAGCAACAGCGCTGCCACACCCGTGCGCTGGACTGCTCTGCCAGGAGAAGCCCAAGATGAAGCTTTGTGAGAAGTTTCCGAACTTTTGCGAGTTCGGACGATATTGCCACAATGCACATGGGCAGGACGAGCTGCAGGTTCGTGTGACCTGACTGCACTGCCAAAGCATTTCTTGGGAGTTAGCCAGACTTGTGTGTTTGCGCGATTCTTTGTCAGGTTAGGCCCCATGTCCTTTGCCCGGAGCGGTTTTTAGACTCAAAGCTGTTTCTGCCATGCATGAATGGGTTAGAAAATTGCAACCGGCTTTGATGAGGCACCGGGGCCGCGCCTAACTGCGCAGCCTGAAGCGGAGCAGGTTGACTATCCGCAGCCCGAGGCCCTTTGTTCAGGGAATCGCGTTCGCCAGTCGAGCAGGGTGTCAAAACTGACGAGAAGCGCCAAGTAAGCAAGGGAGGGCTCAGGGCATCTGGGATTTTTCCCGGCCCCCAATTCAGAATCCTTTTCCAGTGTGATGCTGGGGTGCTTATGACAGCCAGCCTTTTTTGTGCAGGCTGGGGAGAGACAAAAGACTTTGCTATGCCGATTTGCAGCCATGGGAACGTGCAAACATGGCGATGATTGCAAGTTTGCCCATGGCGAGCATGAACCAGAGCGGCCGATCGACTGGGAGGCGGGATCCGTCGCAGACACTGTGTGTTAATCGCCAAGCCTTTCATTTTCCGTCAAGTCTCCGTGGACTTGTCCACCGCCTGTTTCCGCACAGACCTGATATGCTGGCATGAAAGGAGTCCCAGAGCTGACTGACCGAATCCCAAAACCCTACATCCAGTTTAGCGGCCCTTCAGCAATTCTGTCAGGAGAAGCCGAAGTCAAGGTTTTGCTCGCATTTCCGTGAGAGGCGCTTTTGCCAGTTCGGTCGGTATTGTGTCTTCGCGCACGCAGAGGAAGAGCTGCAGGCCGGCGTGGTGTGCCTTCCCACTGTCAGTTCGTGTCGGTGTGGAGCCAACAAGGTCAAGGATCACGAGAGACACCGGGAGAGACACCGGGGGCTGAGCAAGAAGGTTGTGCATGTGTGTGTACCAGCTGCATAAGCTGCTGGGCCCAATGTTCTTGATTCAAGAGAGTTGTTAAAACAGTGGTTGGTCTTACGCCAACTCCGCAAGACATGGAGCGAGCATTGTCCGATTGGAGTCCGATTGGAGAATACCCGTGGAACACGAAACCATTTTAGCTGGAGGTGTTTGACATTGGCTTACTGAGACGGGTGTTTGGAGTAGTTGGGATGCATCCATCAGACATTGCAGGAAGGAGACCGAAGGAAGACACTGCTGTGCAAGCAGTATTTCGAGGGAGGATGCAACCGGGGCGGCAACTGCGCTTTCGCACATGGTGAAACTGAGCAACGCCAGCCACCTGGATGGCAGGACGGGTGCTTTGAGTGAAGTCAGCAGGCTGCTGCAAGAGTTCTCACCCAATGGTCATTGGGAACGTTTGGGGTGGGTGGAAGCAACAGCGCTGCCACACCCGTGCGCTGGACTGCTCTGCCAGGAGAAGCCCAAGATGAAGCTTTGTGAGAAGTTTCCGAACTTTTGCGAGTTCGGACGATATTGCCACAATGCACATGGGCAGGACGAGCTGCAGGTTCGAGAGACACCGGGGGCTGAGCAAGAAGGTTGTGCATGTGTGTGTACCAGCTGCATAAGCTGCTGGGCCCAATGTTCTTGATTCAAGAGAGTTGTTAAAACAGTGGTTGGTCTTACGCCAACTCCGCAAGACATGGAGCGAGCATTGTCCGATTGGAGTCCGATTGGAGAATACCCGTGGAACACGAAACCATTTTAGCTGGAGGTGTTTGACATTGGCTTACTGAGACGGGTGTTTGGAGTAGTTGGGATGCATCCATCAGACATTGCAGGAAGGAGACCGAAGGAAGACACTGCTGTGCAAGCAGTATTTCGAG